TGCAGCGTGAATATTGATGGACAAACAGGTTTTCAGCAAATTCAGAAAGCCGAAACGCCGTTCACGTTATTCTTTAACTGCTGGAATAACTTCATGCAGTCAACATAGACAGGAATCCTTAAGGAACTGGATTAATTTTTGCCTGATTCTTTTTTGGCTGAAATAAAGTGTTCATGTCCAATTCAGAATACACTACTGAAAAAATCTATTGTTAGATGAATTTTCCAATTAAGCCAAGCAAAAACAAATATAATCTTACTAAAGGATTTCCTTTGTTGTGGAATCTTTTTCGCACACGCAAAAATATCATTACGGAAAAGGGTAGATTCCGGTAGTTACCAAAAATAGATACAGTCAAAACACTTTTTTCTCAAAATAATTTCTCGATCGCCGACGCGGGTCTCCTTAACCTAATTTCCACCCAGGAAGTGAGTTTACGTCACACTTGCGTCATAATGAACTTCTCGATACATTGCAGTCATCAATCGAACTGCTATTTGTCAAAAGGTAAATTTCTGGGTGTGGTCATTAATTGCGAATTTGATAAATTACTTTAATTTTGTTGTTGAAAAATGGAAACACGTAAACTGCACGAACTGGGGACTTGGAGAATATTTTCACAATTTAACTTGGCTATGAGAATATAATGGTCTGATGCGAGAAGCCAAGACAACACAAGATGCAACAAAAGTTATTGGATTCGAATCGGGGATTTTTTTCTATACACCGTCTTATAATTAACTCTGCAGTGTTTGCAGTTCTTATTTGGATAAATTAGTACAATGCTGTTCAAACAGAACATATAAAGAGTGTAAAATATTTTCTATAAGCGGCTTACCTCAGTTTGACGTGTTTTATTTAATTATCACCCAATTTAATAGCTACAGCCATTAAAATTTGGTACTGTACATCTTCATTTTAAAATTTGAAAGCCGAAAGCTAATGTAAAGGCGTTTCCAGACATACTGTTGTCGTGCATACTGAACTGTGAAAAGGTGCAATTCTCCCCTGCAAAGTATGATGACGTCAATTCTTGGGCAGTGCCAAGAGCCATGACAGCAATAACAACAACAACAACAAATAGCTTTTTACAATAATGCATTTAAAATTGCATTATTATACATACTTATGCTTGGCCTCCGTAGTTAACGAGCTGTGGTACAGTAGCTCTTCCAGACCTCTATTTTCATTAGCCTATATAAGCATAAGGAGATAATTGACGAGATTATTGCTCCCGGAGTCAGGGTGAGGTTGCCCAGGGTACTCTCTTGTCGAGAGCGAGCGCGGGGAAGCCGTAGCCCTTTTCCAGGATCCATTATAGTAGTGCAGTCATACAGTAAAACGTGATGGGAAAAACGCGACCGTCCCCTCAATTCATCAGATCACGCGTGTCTTATTTTCCCTCGGCTTGTTTTATTTTCGCGACTTCCCTCCTGAGAGCCACCGTCGCGCGTGTCGGGCGCTTCTCGTCTCGCTCGTTTCGCGCTTTCCTAAAAGCGAAAAAATAACGCCTGTTATACAGGCTATTGCCTTGTTCCTAATCTTTTCGGGGCTCTGTCGCCAAAACAAAATCAGCACTCGCCGGCTATTCCTGCCAGGTGAGCAGGCAAACAACATTGCGAATACAACGCGTTTTCGCCAAAAAAGAAATCGGTTCACAACTTTATTGAAACTACATTTGCAGAAAATTTACGAATGAGGGCATGTTAACAGGTCTTCCCAGAATTGAGGTGTTTTTTTTAGCTGATACATGGTCGTCTTTTTATACTGATCATATATAACAGATAAAAGACAAGTCCACACAAAACAACCGTCAACCTAAACCAAGCTTTGTGCATGTTTGTTTGCAATAAGATTTGCCACTAGTTTAAAACTGACATGCGAAAATTGTAGTCAGTTTCGATACGCTTTTGGTCTCGATTCCCCAGTAAAAGAGATTGGGAACTAGATCCGGTCCACTTTTGCTGGTTTCAGTACGACTTATACCGCTGACCTCTCAGAGTTCCCTAATCGGTCACTCCAGCTCACTCAATTTTTTCGTTTCACTTCATTCTTACGATACCACTAGTCGCTTATTTGGTAAACACAACACTGCAACAAATAAACAAAGAATTGAACATAAAATGAAAAAATTATGACATTTCACGTCAATAGACGAAAAGGGGAGGTAAAGAAATGTATCTAGTGCGTAGCAAGCGATAAAAGAGGAATTCCTTTCCCCTTCCCTTCTGAACGCCTACAGCGCAGGCTAAAATGTATCAGGAATTTTGATTCAAGTGCAAAACTGAAACCATCTCATTAACTGCCGTCCCCGTCGCGTTCTCTTAAACTCCTTAAAAGAACTAAAGTCATCCTTGGTAGGTCCTCTTTTAATTCAGGCAGACATTAGCAACTGGTCAAGCAAACCTAATTCAAAAGATATTATAAATTTGAATGAAACAACGTTTAATTTGTTTCTTTTGATGATGTGCGCATGCTCAGAACTTATATACTACAGTCGACTCTTACAGCAGTCTCATCCCTAGAGCCTCCGTTACTTTTGGGCAGCGGATGGGGTAACGGACGCTGTTAGTGGTAGGTACTTAGTGATCCCCGTCGCTGTACAAAAGGATCGCGGCCTCTGGGAACGAGATTGCTCTTAGAGTCGAGTCCTGATAACACGTCGAACCTTCCATAACTCAAATTTCGAGCAAACTCAAACAAAAATTGATTTCCGTCGGATTTTCTCCATAGCGGAGCTCTCGCGCGCGAAGCACGCGCAGGGGAGCACCATGGGTAAGAAACTGAAGTAATCTACCCGTCCGAGGAAATTTGGTAATCACGTGACCGAACGCCCTCCCGCCCGACCGACCGTTCGTCAGCACCACAGGCAAACCAATGTAACACAACTCAATCAACAGGTATGGTAACAAAATGCAACTCGATGTTATTTTGGCGGGAAATCGCATGCATAGCCAACGGCGTCTTGTTAAGCAGAGACATCCAAAGAGTCAATAAAGACGAAAACGGAAAGCGGAAATTGTTTCTGTATCCGTGTTGTCTAAAGTATTAACGGCTTATATTCATTGTCATGTCCTCAAATTTGGAATATAATGCAAGAGAAAGACAGAGAAAAGGAGAAAGTAGGCGGCAGGCCAGTGAAGCTCAACGAGAAAAAGAGCGACAGAGATCTAGAGCGAGAGATAAAAAAAGGGGAAATTTTTTTGATGAAAGAACAACATGAAAATTCGCTTCGCTCTCGGTCCAAATGCGTCTTGACTATTAAAAAGATCGCGAATGGCAAGCAGAACTGTCGTGTGTTTCCTAGGAGGAATTTGGAGCCGTTGGAGCGAATCTACGGCCGATTTCCTTCGGTGGATCCTTCGGGCCGCTTCGCTGGAGTCCCCAACCTTGGTAAACCTTATATAGAGGGATAAAACCGTTTACAGTACAACCCATAAAACGGACATAAATCGGCCCATGGACCACACAGAAGAGACGTAACACACATTTTGTGTAATGTAAGCTGTTTTTTTATTGAATCTTTTCATTTTCGTAGGTTACAGAAACGATAGGTTTTTCCCCTATACACTGAATCCTTATATTTCGAATGTTACGCAACAATGCCGATGCTCTTCCAGCTTGGGCTACCTGTGCATTTACTGTAATTTTAACCCCGGTAACTCGAACCCTCGATAAACCCTCGATAATCTACAAGAGCGTGATAATTCGAAAAAAACGCAGTGAACTGCAGTCCTCTAAAAAAAACGCGTATTCTTTCTCTTTAAGCTTGAAACTTCACTTTTCTGTCAGTCCAATTCAAATACAATGTTGAGCGCTTTGATGCTCAATTTTTTTTTTCAAAACATCTGAAATATTAATATATTTCTTGCTGCCCTTGAAGTAAAGTGTGCATGATAGTTGCATTCCCTCGCCATCCATTTGCTTATCAGTTCCTTATTCCCTGTTATTTGCTTTGAACTGCCGATATCTCGAACTGTTTTCGATTTCCCTTGAAGTTTCGAGTTATCGGGAGTCGACTGTACCTGTGTGATATACTAATGAATCCTAATACATATGGAACAGCTGTGCATGCTGTGGCTTTTATTGCTCCATTGACATGAATATAAAAAAAGGGGTATGAGTGAAAGAAAAATAATGATGTTTGTTTTTGCAGCGCAGGTGGCCTGGATGCAAAATAAATTGCAAATAACACTCTTCCGGTAATGATTCTGCTATTAAGAAACTCAACAACCTGTTATCGGTCAATGAAAGGGCTTAAACGTAATCTAAGACAGCCAAATCTCCTAAAAATGTTTCCTCTTTTATTGTATTGCATCTAATATACAGAATATATTCTCGTGATTAACCTTAAAATGGAAAGAGATAGAGCCGTGGAAGGAGGGTATATTAGGAGATGCACGAGGGCCAGGCAGAGACTTGTGTCACTCAACAGACACTTCATTATAGTTTCAAATAAAGTGAGAAAAAGTGAAAATTTTTACTTTTTATTGAGAGGAACCAAGTAAAAAGGTTGACCTTTCTTTTTTCACTTCAGCAACGCGCACTTCAATTCACCAAGACAATATTTTGGACTGGTTTTGCAAACACCTTATTTATTGCACGTCCGTGACTTCTATTTTTAGTTATCTCGGTGCTAGAACTGCTGTCTCATCACGCCCGGATCGAGATAAAGAACACCTCGCTTTCTTCATTTCTGATCCAATTCTTATTTCTGTTTTCTATTTTTTTTCCATTTGTTGGTCAAACGTTTGTGCAGTTTTCCAACCGTAACCTTCAAAAGAAGCCGAAACCGATAAACATGCTGTCGATCTATGCCTGGAAGTAGATATGCATAGTTGGTTTTTACTGACTGAAAAGGTGCTCTGATCTAACTCGTTGCCATAAGATTCTAAAAGCTCTTATAGTAAAAACGCAAGTGCAAAGGACATGTAGTCTTCTGTAAACATTTTGCAAATGAATTTTGGCCGGTGGACAGAAAGACAAAACCCCCCGATTTACTCTTCGAACATGATTGGTCAAAGGATTCGGAGGACTTTGTTATTCAAATTTGGGTGCTAAACTCAGTGTCGTTTTCTCGGCTAAGTAATGAATTAATAACGCGCAAAACGAACTCAACGCACGTTCGAGATTGCCCCGTATTGCTCAATTTTCACGAAGGGTTTTCCGGTTTTTTTCCCCGAGGCAATTTATGGCACCGTTGTGGGTAATTTTATGTCCTTATTGGCAAGTATAGTTGTTTATATTCTTAGTAGCCGTGTAACTATCAAGTCTGTCTGCCTGATCAGTTGGACCGCTTGTTCGGACAAAGCCTTGTGACAGGTAATGTTGAAAGTGTGAAATCGCTTCCCTATTGTAAACATGGCCGAAGAACAACTCCAGAGGGCTGAGTCGAACCTCAAGCCGAGCGAGCTGAAGGCTGCATTCAAGCGAAGCAGGGACATCGACGCACTGTTGGACGAGGAAAGAGAATTAAAAGAAAAAGAAGTTCAGATACTTATTTTAGGTAAGCATAGCATTAGGATCTAGTAAATTCCGCTGTTACTATAGTCGGCTCGTTAACGGGTGTATATTCGGTCATCTGTTCCTTAATATTGTTGCCCTATTACCACGGAATGTAGCCAACTTTCACAAGCTCCCAGATATAAAATTCATGGAGGGGCAAAGTGTCCTAGTTTGCCTCGTGAAGCATCTACCCTAGTCATATTATGATCGGCAAAACCTCTTTGAGAATTGTTCCATACCTACTTTTTCAAAGAAAGCCGTTCTTAAGTAAACAGCGACAAAACAATTTACAGCTATTGAAAATCAAAATTCACCTCCGATATAACGCATTAAATATATATAAGCTTAACTGATTTTAAAGGGCACGTCGGTGAATTGTTTTTTCTTTTCTTATTTGGTGAACTACAGATATGTAGAACTTATTCTTATTAAGACTCATTCGCGAAAAAATCTAATCCCCTTAAGATAATGAAAGACAGTATGAAAGTGGAAAAATGTTTTAACTAGACAACTTGCTGACAAACACTTAACATTTGCATATTGTATACTTTCGAAAATAGTTCTAATTTTACCAGGAACATAAAATCAGAGGCTTTCGCTTTTTGGCGGTACAAATTTTACAAAATACCCAAAATGGTTATTCAGCTAATATTTTTCGCATCGGTGATTATTAATAATTAATAGCGTTCAGAAACCAGAAGAAAGTTGGGAAAATGACATCCAATTATGATTTCAAATTAAAACGGAATAAATTTAAATTTATAGATTGGCAAATGATGAAATATAGTAACTCTACAAGTGCAAGCTATTAATATCTGTTGAGCATTAATATATTGATGAATCAGGTATATTGTAGTGACCCATTATTCAAAGTGTTTTTTTTCGCTTCATTGTCAAAAACACATAGAAATCAGAATCTAATCAAAAAAACAAAAACAAAATCAATACAACAACCACAAAACTTACTTAAAAAGTCTTGGATTTTTGTTTTTTTTCATGGAAGAGTGTTGAAGTGACTTCCCAAGATGCCAAACAAATGTTCAGTTAATTTTGAAAATAAGTTCCGTTTTACAATGTTTTGTAGTTCCTTACGTTCCTCTTACATGTAAAGTTTAGCGAGAAAACATGAGAAAAAGTTGCTGCATAGGATTTCTTTATGAATTTGTTTGTTTTGACTAAAATTGACATATTTGTGGTCGGTTTTTAATGGAAAAAATTAGCAACGACGACGGCGACCAGCTGGCGACTGCGATGGCAAAGCCCAGAGCGCCTAAAAAGAAATCGGACACGGCATGTACCCTACAACGAATTAAATTTTTCACTCTTTCTCAACTTGGCCGGGGGTGGGGTCACCAAAAATTCAACACAGGAAAATTCACCTGCATTTGAGATTTAAGTGAGTGAGTATAGTTTTGATAAAGTTTTTGAAAAGAAGGCGAATCTGAATTGAGTTTTTAACCCTGAACGTTCAACATCAATGCGGTTGCCGTTTCCGAAGTCGTTGCTGATCCCATACAGTAAAAACCCGCGTATAAGAAGATAAGCTTTTCCAAGCTAGCCTAGGAAGGTTCTTATAAAAATGGTTCTAACTGGAAAATTAGGCTACTCAGGTTCTTAAACAGGTTTTTATTTTTAAAAATAAATAAGGTGTTTGTCATTGGTGGGTGTGGCCTATTTTGGGCCTATTTTTGTTATTGCATGCATAAAATGTTACAAAAATCCCTTTAATCCAAGCCTGTTAAGGCCATTTATGAAGTTTATTCAAAGTTATGCAAGTTAAACAGAACAAAACAACCGGTTAAAATATGGTACTGTGTTGCCACTGGGCCAAACATGGTACTGTCATAGAGTCAGGTTGCTCACTTACTTTACACTTGTGTTCTGTTGCCACATATTGGTATTGGTATTGTAATTAAAAGAGACAATTATTACGCGGGTGGTTCTATCTTCATTTACTCGACTATTAATTTTTTTTTTTCAGTGTTTGACTTAATTTCTCAAAATAAGAACCTGTTTCAAAATTGTAGGCTAAAACTGGTTCTTATGTAAAAGGGTTCTAAATGGACAATCTTAACCTAACAGTAGATGATAGAGTAAGGTTTTTCACCTCTGGGGCCGCACCTGAATCTTAGCTTACACGTACCACTTCTAGACTTCCCTATAAATCATGGCAATTCCAGACGGTCTCAAAGAGTCCCTCAGCTTCTAGAAAGAAAACTACAGCACTTAAAGCTCTGAGCTACCATTGTAGTACTTTTAGCATTCATCGCGGCCGATCGAGATCACATATTAGGCTGTTAAAAAAGACGCTAAAATAATCTCAGGGGATCTTTATAAGTAGATCTTGCCAGTTTCGCTTCACGAGGGTTGCAAGCTTAGTTATAAGGCCCTCGACACTTTCCGGACCGGGCTGGTGTGATTGTCTTTTTATGCAACATCCTTTTTTTGTCCTTTTTTGTTTGAAAACGGAGATTTTTCTCTCTGTGTTTGACCTATGGTCCACACGTATCTGGTGAAACCTTTTTATTTGGCTATGAGAAAGGCGACTGTCACCAAAAACACAGGCTTTTCAAAATCGCCTTCCAGAGTGGAGATTTTATTAAAACGCCGGCTTATCGTTTACGTGTGGGCTGACGGAAACAAATACCACAATGTTACCACAATGTCATACATCATACAGCGCATGCTCTGTAAGGCATGCAATCGTATAGCTTCGAACAGCTTAAGCGAACAGCGTTTTGTGTGTACTGGCGAAAACGATTCGCCAAATATGCGTAGACGCGTATTTTTTTTTTTTTTTATTTTAAAAACGGAGAAAAAAATCTCCGTACATCTGGATGAGGCCTTAATTTCCCACTGCTAATTTTCAGGTCCGGGTTGCTCTGGAAAGACAACCTTTCTCAAACAACTGCGCATCGTCTATGACAATGGTTACACGGAGGAGGAGAGAAAAGCATTCAAACCAATAATTTATAAGAACATCAGCTCAGCAATCGCTAAAATCGTCAAAGGGATGGATGAAATCGGGTTGACTTTTGAAAACAACGATTTGAGAACCAAGGTGTGTATTTTCTATTCATTACAATCCCTAGTCAAATCTCTTCCAACGACCCCCGGCCTAGCAGTCTAGAACGGCTACTTTTTAAACTCCCGACGGAGCTCTTACACATTTTCCATGTTATGACTTCAAGGGCGGAGTATCCTTCCAGCAGATGTTCACTTAGCCTAGCCTCTCGGCCCAAGACTCTCTCCAAGCGAAAATAAGAAGCGCGTGATCTGGGGATGAGGGCCTCGGCCTCCGAACGTTTTGTGAATCATGCGTTCAGGCGCCTTAAGCGCCCGTGCCATTTTTGTGCGCCATAACTCCCCTTCCTCCTTCCTTATCATACAAATGAGCAGGCTAAGAATTGTGCGGTACTAGTTTATCGAAGTCAATATATATGCGTTATTGACCAAGCGTGAGGCCAAGATGCCTGGATATTGTCCAAGTTCCTTTTTGCGTTTTCATGGACCGAGGCAAAGTCACAAAAACGAACGAGGCCAATACCCAGCTATCTTGACCTAACAAAGTTGGTCAATAAAGAATTTATTATATGATTGGCCAAAGAGAGAACTTTTTCTTGCGGGACCAACGTGGGAAATCCCGAGCGGATCCGCTCGGGTAACCAATCAGAACACAGGATTCGCTTTATCTTGCCCGCTCTTGGAATCAGCCGCACAATGGATTAAGAATAACTTCCATTTTTTTTAACATTCATGTAGAATTTTACGGAGGAATCATTAGAAAACTCCAGCTCAGAGGATAATGAGAACAACAACTTTTCGCTTCAAGACAGAGTTCCACTGTTGACAGAATTCTGGAATGATCCCTCTGTGCAAACCTGCTATGATCAGAGAAATCTATTTTACATCGAAGATTCCGCTAAATAGTAAGTAAATTCATCAGTGACGGAAATACTTCATATGTAGCTTTATTGTAGTCTATCTGACTTCAATTTGAACTTTTATGACTTCAAAGTTAAGCTTTCTCCTCTAATGGTTTGTTCTAAAACACATGCATAAAATGGCTGCTACTCCCTCTCCCGTCAAATCATTTGCTAAAATAAACTTACCCTGTCTTCCTCGCTGTGATTTTGTATGGCCCTGGTCCGAGTTTTCAGGCTCTCCGACTAGTTTGATTGTGAAAACAATTCAGTGCAAAAGGAACGACAATATAAGCCTTTGGCAGAAAGTAGGGAACATTAATTTGTAACGGAGAACATGAATTTTTGACAAAACTACAGTAAGAGAATAGGACACTTCACCCTCCCTCGCAGTTGCATGGAAAAACATTTTAAGAAATTTAAAAGGTTGCCGGTCTCAGTTTCTTATGATTGTTTGTTTGCGTCTTGTTGAAAGAAGGCGATTTTTTTAACAGTCTCGACCTGGCTTGGTAACATATTACACCCAACTCATCAGCTTTTTCCTTTTACATTACATCAAAAATGAGCCCCCGATGTTTTTTGTTTGTTTGTTTGTTTGTATTTTCGAGCAAGGTTCTGTAGTATTTAGGCTGTGTTTCTCTAAAAATAAAAACCCAAATAGAGATTCAAGCTAGGGTAACGATAAAAACTGGTTAAGAATATCTTTACTCCTAAGTTACGAAGCATCCGAATTCACTGAAATTTTTTATAGCAGCCGTATCATGGAGACAAAAGGCTTTTTGCGCTCCCGCCGAAAGTTGTTGTGCTTTTGCTTGGAAGAATGTTTTATGACGAATCTGTCCCAAAGAACTGCTAATGAACGCGACTCCAGAGTAACTGGATTCAGATTGAACCCGCTGAATTTTAATCGAAAGAATTCCGAAACTATTTCTGGATTCATACGAAGTAACACAGAATCAGTTTTAGGTTCATGTACATGTATGCAGATCCGGATTTTTTCCAGTGAAACACAACCTTGTTGCCAAACTGTAGGTCGCACGCGCAAGTTTTCGGAGCTTAATGCTGCCTCATGTTTTATTTGTTGTCAGCTTTTTTGAAAATCTTGAGCGGTTGTCTCAACCGGACTACATCCCAACACACGAAGATATTCTTCATGCCAGACAGTCAACACAAGGAGTAGAGGAAAAAAAAATATCAGTAAACAACTTCCAATACAGGTATCTATACAGTACCTATACATATTTTACAAGAGATTACGAGCGTGATAAGTTTAAATGCTGGATAGAAAGTTATTGGTTGTTCAATTTTCTGATAAAGGCTCATTAATTCATCCTAGTTATACTGGTATTAATTCATTCAAAGCGTAAATTTAGACTTCGATTCGTATCTCGTACAAACCCTGCAGTCTCAACGCAAATTGTGGAAGGTACCATTTGAATAAATGAACTTGCTGAAAACTCGAATCCCGATCGAGGATGGGAAAGGTCAATCATTCGTTTTGGGAAAAACAAAGTGAACTAGTCAACAGACGCGGAAAGCTTTTTTGATAAGTTAAAAAACCGTAAATATATCAGCGTTATAGATTCACTGAAGACATTCCTCAAGTGAGGTGCAGTCGTTGCGACTTTGTTCCTCAATTGGGCTTCTTTTCCGTTTACAGAGTAATAGACGTCGGAGGACAAAAAAGTCAACGCAAAAAGTGGATTCATTTTTTTGAAGGTGTTACAGCAGTTGTGTTTTTTGCGTCGTTAAGCAGCTACGATGAGTTCGTGGAAGAAGACGAAAACACAGTAAGTCAGTGTTAGAAGAGCCGGTGGAGCTAACTGTTTAAGCTTTCTGAGTGAGGAAACTTGGCTAGAAAAAAGTTTCACATCCCTAGACTCGTTTCAGCTCCTAAGTATTTGTTATTGTTAAATCGATAAAAGCTTACAGGAAAGAACAAGGTCGCGGGGGCAGAATAGAATTTTGAATAGAATAGAATAAATGGGACTTAGTTCGAGTCAGCGGGTGGTTCGAGTCACATGAACTCGAGTTATCGGGGTTCTACTGTATAAAGGTACTGTCAGCAGCCCAGCTGGAACCGGCCTCATTGACAAGCTAATCTCAATCTGGGGGTTTGTGCCGCGGTGATGACGAAAGAAAGACCCTTGGGAACGAGGCTGCCAAGGTCGTTGGGTGCTTACTATTAACTAAAAATATTACGCCTCTAGAGGGCTAATGGTAAGGTCATTTCTTGGAAATTCCAACCGAAAATTTAGAATTGCGCATGCGTTTTGAGGTAATCCTTTTATTCCGGTTGGTATGAATCAAACGGAACGTCAGTTACCATTCACTTTTTCCTTTGTTCCATTCCCGCGCGATACTTAGTTGCGTCTTTTTAGATCCACAAGCGTAACAGAAAAGGTAAATCGATGATGAGCTAATAAATCGTTTTCTATCAAGCAACAAGGTAACCCAACTAATTTTTTTCGGTCAAATAGTATTAACTTCTACTACGTCATCATGACGCGTTAAATAGAGAACCCTGGGAACGAATTGCGGTACTTCGTCAACCAAGCTCCCGGTGTTTCGACTCCTACCTCACGACCTATCACGACTAAACTGGTAGCCTGTTCCAGGCTCTGAGATCGTCGGGTCCGCTGAATCGAGAAAGCGCAAACACGAAACTAAAACGGGAGGAAACCCCGCCAACTTTACGCCTGCCTTTTTCTTTCGCGTCTTCCCCACTATCTGAGAGCCTGGAACAGAGGCTACTAAACTGGTGACGAAAAAGCCGGGAGCCTTGGGGGCACTTCAGGTCCTTGCTTTTTTCGAAATACCACAATCGTAACATCTTTTCACTGAGCTCATTCCGTTTATTTCCATCATGTTTCTCTACTAAACACCATTTTCTGTATTTTTCAGAACGCCATGCTGGATAGCTTAGAATTATTCGAAGAAATCAGCCAAAATGAGTTCCTTGAAAACACAGAGTTCATTCTTTTTCTCAATAAGCACGATCTATTTGTGGAAAAATTGAAAACATCGAAGCTTTCCTCGTGTTTTCCTGATTACGAAGGTAAGCGAAAATCCGGGGTTTTTTTGTTCTTAAAGTGGTAAAATCATGTTTTTGGTCAAACATTTTATATCAACTCTGCATTTGTTTTCTGCGCGTTTAAACGTGCGCAGACACCAAACATCGCCGATACTCATGCAGAGGATCGATACCAATACGGATGTAATCGATATCACAGTATTTGAACTTGAATAAGCCTGGTTTTTACCAGCGGCGCAGGCACAAAGCAAACAGACGCGTAAGCACAACGGTGTCTTAAGACGAGTGAAAACGAACGCTAAAACATATGCAAGAAAAAGAGGTAGAAATGCAAATTTAAAATCACCAATTTCCTTTTTTATTAGCCTACAGAACAGGTGTTATTTTTGCGCGTTTTTCAGACAAGCGAAGACAGCAATGGCAAGTTGGCGGCAGTCTTAGAACTCCATTGCCAACCGGGGAAAAGGTCCTGGCGACGAGGCTGGATTGACTGGATCGCAAGACCATAGTTATTAGAGGAGACAGGTTATGAAAAGCGGCAAACATCAATGATAAAAACAACAGTGCTGCAGTTTATGTTGGAAGCACCCTGAAAGAGCACAATCCTTTGTTTTCTGTTGGCAAATTGTTACGGAATAAATTAATGCAACGTTTTTATTGGTCAATACAATCAAAATGATAGGAATTCTTTTGAACGTTGTGCACTTTCGGGTCCACAAAAACATATAACAAAGGAGTCTGACGGGTTTCATAACCATTCCACTCAATTAACTATGGCAAGACAGACAAAAGATAAAAGATTTTCTCCTGCGTCTTTCCACGTAGCCCGCACGCCGTGCGCCTGTCTCTCGCTTGCCTTCTCTCGCCTGAATAACGCGAAAAAAGGCCTGTTTCTACAGGCTCTATTTTTTATGGACAACACTGACGCTATCTTAATTCAAGTAAAAGTCCTAAGGGGGTGGTTCCTTTTAAGGTTGACGGTTAATCTTTTTTCCAATTTTGATGGTTGACAGTTTTATTTGAGGGCTTTTGACAGTTGACGGTTATTAAGTGGACATTTAGTCCAACAGTTTAAATAAATATCAACTTCTGCAGAAATTAATGTTAATATTAATTTTTTTTTTTTTACGGTTGATGGTAAAAAATTTCCTATTTTTACGGTTGACGGTTAAAATTTAGGCCGTTTGACGGCTGACGATTAACTCCATAGAGACCCTCAATTAACGGTACATTCTTCGTTTCAGGTGGTCCTGACCCGGAGATAGCTCTCGCCTACGTTCAGGATTTATTCATGAAAAGGAAACCCGAAAACAAAAAAGTTTATTTACATGTGACTTGCGCAACAGACACTGACCTCATGAGAACAGTACTTAAGGATGTGTTCGAGATTCTGGTTGATATAAATCTCAAGAAACTTGCCACTCTCTAGTTAATGTTGCAAGTAGCTTGAAAATCATTTTTTAATTTCAACTGAGCTAATTTTTGCGTTTTTTCGGTAACAGTATCGCGCAGTTTTTGCAGATACTCTTGCAAACAAAATGGACAAAATGCATTCTTTCGTCTAAATGCTTGAGAAAATCTTTCTGTTTTCTTTTATCCGAGATGTTTTCCAGTGCGCATTCATAACAATTGAGGAATTTGACGCGTTTGGGTATGTTATTTCTTAATATTGGGTCTAAAATGCACTTTATAAACGCGATTGATCATGATGTGGTAAATTTCACCGGCTGAACTACGATTTTCGTGTTTTATCAGATTCGCTGAGGCTATAAAACGTGATAAAGATACTTAATTTAATCGTTAATTGCACTAAGATAAAAAATAAAACTTGTTTTCCAGAAAGTTTTATGCATTTGTCAGGTTACACCTTATCACCAGCCTCCTGATCGGGCGCTTCCTTTTCTGCACAGAAGCGAGCGCGAAACGCGAGTGACTGGTAACGAAGAGCAAGGGACCATGGGAAGGAGAAAGATGCGAGGCGAAGCGACGCCTCGCCCCTTTTCTCCTTCCCGCCTTCCTTTGCGCGCAAATTTTCAGCGAGAGAGACATCACAGAGAGACTTCTGGGTACGAGGGAGCATTATCACCATTCCGCCTGAAAGCACGAGATATATAATCATTCCCCCTCTCATTAGTCTAAAGAACACACGAAAGTATTCAACATCAACTTCATCTTCAATTTAACAAACCTCTTTTACGATGATTTTGGTTATCAATGCGGCTGTGACCAGAACACTCGACCAAACGGGTGATCACACAAGACCATAATCTAAGGCCCTGAAATACAACGTACATTTACCATATAGAGGGAAAAAAAGCAAAGGAAAGAGTCACGCCTGTAAAATCTTTTATTATTCAGTGAGGTCTCGCAACTGGGTTCTAAATAACAAATCTTCTATTATTGAGTTCTTTTATCTGTATTCCAGAGACTCAGTTCAGTTGATGGTGTGTTGTCACAACAGGGCATGTCAATGGAGATGCTTCTGAAAGTGATGCGATTTCACGTCCATAAGAGCAATATAAGTTAGAATCCTCATTATCAGTCCGTGCAACACTAAGTGTTAAAATGATGCATCCTTTAACTCTCATCTTGGACGACCACGCCCTCTCCCCATTCCACCTGCAGGAGGACCATCTCCACCTGACTTGGGGTTCTTCACTGTTTCATCGACAGATAGAATCAGGCAAGCAGCTTCTGTAGCAGCCGTAATGGCATTGATTTTGACTATGGCTGGTTCCCATACACACGACTCAAAATTATCAGCAATATCTTCATTATTGATGTCAACCCCATACCACATACCCCCTGCAATGAGAGAAAATATAAGACAATTAACACTCTAGCCTAAGAAAACAACCTACTGGTTTCCCGGCGAAATGACGTCTGAGAAACGACAGCAGAAATTCCACACTGATGACGTTTCGCTACCCAGACCTGGATAGTGCTTCTAATTGGTCGCGCCGCGTGGTAAATTTATTTCGACCAGCCAGAAGCATCTACCCATCGTAGTGAACGTCATCAGTTTGGAATCTCTGCAGTATATCTTTCTTCATTTCAATCACCAGGAAAGTTTACAAGGCTTCGAATGTGCTGCGCTTTTACAAAATCAAAACCAAAACAGTTTTTTTCGCTACTGTTTTTTTTACATCTACAATTTTAAAGGTTGTCAGTGAAGAATTGTAAGTTTAACTCTGATTATGAAAAAGTTTCTATTTTTCACTTATGCAAAATGATTCCTATTTCCTTTTCATCTCCCTACCTAGGTATGAGAAATTAAGTTTATTCTAATACCTACTTTCTACTGGTTTTGATTTGCTTCAAAAACCCTCTCTCTTTCACAAGACAGTAATGTACATTAATTAACCCTTTTAGTCCCAATAGTGACCAAGATCAATTTTCTCCTCACAATATCCATACACTGTCAAGAGATAAGTTATAAGAATTAATAAAATGATCACCTATGAGAAAATGCCCTGATTTATCAACAAATTCTCTCAACTAATTCCGTAAGGAAATGTATGGAGATCAGTTTGAAGAATTTGTATGTGGATACTGGGGCTTAAAGGGTAAAGTGGAATTTTCAAGAATTATCATATTTAGGTGGATGATGCAAGATTCCTGTTTGTTGTCTGGTGCACAACAATGATAATTTCTCACCTTGGAAGTGCTTTTGCCTCAGTTTGTTTAAAATGTTAGTTGCATCAAATCCTGCATTATCACACAGCTGCCTGGGAATAATTTCCAAAGCTCTAGCCATAGATCCAATTAGGAGCTGTTCTTTTCCAGCTATTGAGCGTGAATAATCTCGCAGGTACTTGCTAAGCTCCATTTCAATAGCTCCACCTCCTGCTACAACTGCATCATTTTTAATAGCTCGTCTCACAATCATGATTGCATCATGAAGAGATCGTTCTGTTTCTTCAATGAACTGTTCTGCTCCACCTCGCATGATAACAGTGCATGTCTTGGCCTCAGGACAGCCAGTGAAGATATTATACCTAACATGTGGCAACAAAAAATAAGTATCAATGATGTCTTTTTGAAGCTATTTCTCCCATATTGTACTCGGTCCCCTATTTTTCCGTAATATTATCTTTGGGATTGGGCGCCTACCCTTACAGTCAGCCACTTTGGTTTCAAATGTACCGGATCTAGCCTGGGGGTGAGTATCAGATCAACTTAGAAGGTGGCAAACGGTTTTGGAGGAGGCGGGATTCTCTATTTTTCTCTTTTCCATTTTTCTCTCCTCCCTCCTCCCACTGCTAAAAACCCTGGGGCCCACCCTGTCAGTACATTATGTTAAAACCAAACGTATTTTAAAGCCTAAGGTAATGCAAAACACTCGATCTCAACTATCTTACGTAAAAATATGGGACTGCAAACAGTACTAATTTCTGTTAGCTGCCAGCCTTTATTTCCAGGTCTCCTATAACTCTACCGATCCTATCATCTTGTTGTGATAGTGTGGGTTTTTTCATGACTGGCCAGGAGTTCCTCTAACAGTAAGTTTGTTTTTACTAACTTACATGTAGCAACAGAGTACTCTGCTGGCTAGCTGCTTTGTGACTACCTGGAAACCAAATGGTTAAATCACTAAACAGTAGCCTGTGAACAGGCTCTTTGTTTGGGGGAAAAAATAGCAGTTACTGGTTACCTGCAAAAAAATAGCAGTTACTGGTTACCTGCAAAAAAATAGCAGTTACTGGTTACCCGCAAAAAAATAGCAGTTACTAGTTACCCGCTCAACCAAAGGCCTGTTCACAGGCTACTAAACAGCAGACTGCCTGGCAGGCTCATCGTTTTTAACTGTTAAACCTCCGTTAAGCAAAAAATGCCCAGACAAAATGCCCAAACAACTTTTTCACATACCGCTCTCCACCAATCTGCTGCTCTTCAAACAATTCACATCTTCCTAGCACACCATCAGTCATGTTGTTAACTGACGTCTGGATGGCCCCTCCACAAGCTTTCATAGTTCTTTTTAAATCTTCTTCTACCACACGACCAGCACAGAACATGTCCCTTAAAAAAAGTAACAATCAACAATTACTCTGAAGGACCAGAAAATAATCATGCCAACATCATGGTGGCACATCTGTTTTATGAAAGTGGAAATGATGGGTCTCGTTGTGACATGATATGGGTTAAATCAACGGGAAAAGAGACAGTTTTTTTTTGTTGTTAAAATCAAGTTAGCCTGTCAAGCTGAAATTCTCCGGAAAAAATGAACTCCTTTTCATGGGACCAAGCCTAAGAAAACAGCCGACAATAGACACCATCACTGGTTTCCCTGTAAAATGACATCTGAGGAGCAAATGCAGAAATTCCATACTGATGATGTGTCACTACCCAGATCTGGGTAGTACTTCTGATTGGTCCTGCATCAAGGCAAATTTGCCTCAACCAGTCAGAAGAAGGGTAGTGACACCTCATTAGTAGGGAAATTCTGCAGTCATTCCTCAGAGGCCATTTTGCAGGGAACCACCCAAATTTTGGCTCTTTTTTCAGGCTGCTTGGGACCAAGCCATCAAGTCTAAAATGTCATTGATTTCAACAGTTCTCACCTGTCTGCAAAGTACTGTGTAGCGACATCTCCAATGGGTAACTTAGAGAGGACGACTTTAGCACCACTTTGAACAATCTTGTCCAGTTTATCATAAAGGATATCCCACTCAGCATCTACAATCTGCTGATATTCCTACAGTGTACATACAGAATGAAACAACACTTCAGGTCATTAATGAACAAGTCAACAAATACTTTCATTGCCACACTGTCTTGTCCACAACTAATAGAGTCCTATCCCACATTCTTATCAATTTTTTGACAAAAAGATCAAAATACTGAAAAATGTTTTTCTAATTTTCCACTGTTTTCGACATCTTGTATGCAACCACTTGACCACTGATTTGATCTCTATGTTTGCTTTAACATATTGTACTTCACTACTCAGAGTAGGCAAAGAGCTTTAATGACACTGAGTGTGGAACCCTACCCTTACTTAGAAAATGCATGCAATGAATTCTCCTCCAAAAAGTAGATGTGTTCAGAATTCTCCTCAGAAGAGACCCTCCACCCCCCACATGCTCTAATATTATTCTAGTACATAACCACCTCTCAGAAGTGACCAATAAATCTTATGTGAGGTTCGACTGTATTCAGTTTTAAGTTCCTGTAGTTGCCAGCTCTACAAAGCATCAAATCAATCATAGTCAAAAAATAAAAGATGGTGTATATTATAAAAGGACCCTAAAATTTGTCGCATCTCTGAAATTTGCAACCGTCATAGGCACTCCTCTTTTCACTGAAAAAACAGTCATTATTTAGTGGTCACAGCGCATTTCACTGGTTATCCACATGCAGGGCTTCAAGAGAAACTATCAAAGTTTGGAACATACTATACACTGAGCTGTGAGTTACCTCTACTTTGTCAAGTCTAACTTCTGCATTTTCTTTTTCTGCCTTCAATTCCAGTTCCACATTCAGGAGTGCTATTTTGGGATTCTTATACTTTTTAGGCTGCATTTCAAATCCAGCATAAGAAAATGTTTTCTTGAAAGCAACACCAGCAATGAGTCGTGAATCCTCTAAAGCTCCTCCTTTCACTTTCTTCATGCCAATCATACTGAGTGGAAGCAGATCATCAAGCAACATTACAGCATCCACAACCATTTTGGAGAAGAACTCCTTGTGAGCAGCTACCAGTTTGGAGCTTAGAGCTGTAGCAGCACATCTCTCTAGTAAAATTCTCATTTCTCTGTAAAAAAAAGTAGTTGCAGAGATAGATGTACATGTAAGCACACAGGAGTCCAACATTGGCAGCATGAAGCAATCATGTCAGGGTTGTCATTTATTCTTAAGTAAAGCAGTTGAGGAAATAAAAAAGGTGACCAAGGATTTCATCTTTCCTGCCATTGTCATTGCACTTTTTCTACACCAAATTAAGTAGACAGAACCCAAACTTCTAGAAGCGTAGGCCCTGCCCCTGAGCTTGAAAAAAAGTCCTCCAAAACTTTATACATGCTGCAGCTTCCATCAATGTGCATTATGTAACATACAGTAGTTAATCAATCACAGGGCTATCCTTAGTATTAATTTTATCTGTATTATGATGCACACACAATTTTTTACAGAAGTTTTTGTCTTTAAGGAAACAACATAACCCACAATTGTAGATGTACGCTTCCATAATTTGACTGAAAAAAACAAAAAAGATGGAGGAAAAAACTGACTGAAGGATGTATCCTTCAGTTCATGCCGGTTAAGCTCCATTTGTCTCTGTCAGTGGTTTCAATAAGCACCGAGGACCGATGAAACATGTCGGCTACTTTGCTCAGAGAAGTCAGCTTGTTTTTTTCCAAAAGAAGAAGCAAATAGTTATTGTAATGTCGTAAGCAAATAATATACAGTCATAAAATGAAACATGAAACATAATTATGATGTGTTTACGTAACGGCATACTTGTTTTATATTATGCTTTAGTTATGTGAGCACTGCATATTTTCAGTCTGCAATTTTTCACACGTTTATTTATACATGTAGGTTTACACAGAATTTGTTCATGTGCAAATGTATGTAATCAAGTTATCATCATTTGATAAATGCTTGTGGGAGTTGATTGTGAGGCTGATAACACTTAAACAAAGGCAACATTTTCTTTAGTGAAAAACACACTCTTTTTGGTACTCAATGTAGTCCCAAGAATGCTGGAAATCACGCTGAAGGGCTTTAAAATTTCAAAATTTTCTGGAGGAGCACGCCCTGAGAACCCCCTAGAAAAAGAGGACTAATGTTCCCTTGTTCATACAACCAGTTACTCTTTTTAAACCTGCTGGCTACTTCAATTTTTATTGAAACCCCTACTCTGTAATACAATATCATAAGGCAAACAAGCTGTATGATTCACATCAGTTGCTGAAGAAGGTTCACCACACAAGAATTAGCCTTACTGTTAATGAACATCGAAAACTATCACATGGGCATACCAATAAGAACAATAAAAGGTGATGAATATTGTACATCATTGACGGTGAAAACATGACTTACTTTGGATCATCTTTCTTGATATGTACAGCAATTTCTTTAATCCTCTTTATTGCCTAAAACAAATTGCCAAGTTAATATATCACCACAAAATAGATTATTAAAATCATCTTAATGAAATAGGAAGGTCACGATCTTGTTCTAAACTTGGTCAATAACCTTAAATAGGTATGAAAAGCAAAGAAATGGTTCAGTCTCTTCCAAAAGTAATTGGGGCCCCCACTGCAACATTTTATATCTGCTATAGAGTGGAGAAAGAGATAAGAGGTGGGGGAGTATGGGCGAGCTTGGAATTGATTGAGCTGGAACACTTTTGCCAGAAATTAGGTCCTGGTCATAAAAATGCAATCAGATTTGACCAACTTTGATGTTGTGATAGTTTACTAGTCCAAAGCACTGAAAGGAGCAAACCCAATATTTTGTCATAAATGAAAGCAATTTACAAACTTGGCTTGCCCATCACATAACTTACAATACAAAGACACAAGCCCAACAGCTGGAATACTGAATAGCACTCTTGTTGTAAGTACAGGTGTGCATTGAATTGAAACTCACTAAATTTGCTGCCTTCCTAAAACTTTTCACTGCCACTTGTGCATGAACACCTTCTTCAATAAAAGGCTTCACTTGCTTGAGAAACTCACTGGCAAGAAGAGTGACTGTTGTTGTTCCATCTCCAACCTAGAGGAGATAACAATAACATCACACTTCATCATTCAAAAACTTCAAAGCCATCCCCTCCCTGCCCACACCCACCCTTGACAAAAAGAGGCTTTTCACTTGCTACTTACCACTACAGTCAAACCTCCCCTAAGCAACCATCCACAATGAAAAAATAAGTGGTTGCTTAGGAGAATCAGACCCCAGTAGTGTTACTCGAGGTGTCCCGAAACATCTACTTTTTGGTAAAGAATTACTACACGCAATTTCTAAGTAACAACATGTGTAGTTCCATAGTGTCACTAAAAGTTCTGAGGGTGAGTAGCCTAGTACAGACTGAAAACATAGAGGCAAGACTGTGTGTCAAGTGGTTGCCTACAAGAGGTTTAAAACAAAGGAAAATTATAAACCCTCACCAAGGGCAGATTTAGGGGTGGGTCCAGGGGGCCCTGCCCCGCCCCCCTCTCCTTTTTGTGGTTTATTAAATATTTCACCTTTACATGTTCAATATGGAATATATAGCTTTTGCCTGATCAGAAAAGAACAAGGTATATACAAGTGTATGCCACTTTTTTGTATCACGGCTGAGAGAACAAGGTAAACACACGCTCAACTTAAGACATTAGCAAACAGCGCATAAGCAAAATGACTTGAAGGCGAAATGACTGGTCACCCATGGATCAACCTTCATGCTTAAAGGTTGTGTGCTCTTTCGGAGGTCACCACTTGTTTCCCAAAAGGGATGGAGTGCTAGGCAGGGCCACACGTGCGTGACCTCGTTCACTTACAATCGATCGGCAAATTTGCAAAACAGTTTTCTAATTTTATTGCAGCATTATCATAATACCGGAGGAAAGAAGAGATGCAAATCGTGCTGCACAGCTAAGTACATGACACACCTTGCCAAATCTAACTACAAAAGGCAAAAAGATACAAACCTCGGCGTCTTGTGACTTAGAAATATCTACAAGAGTTTTTGCAGCAGGGTGAACAACATCTAAAAGGCTGATAATAGTCGCTCCATCATTGGATATTGTAGCTTTCCCTGGAACGACCAACAAATGGAAATATATAAGATTATAAGCTTAAAAGATCGGAAGATCGAATAATAATAATGTGACCAAACTGAAACCCACCTGAACTGTTTACAATCAATTTATCCATTCCTCTGGGTCCCAAAGTTGTCCGCACTGCATCAGCAATAAACTGGCAAGCATTTATATTGCTGATGAGTTGTGGGACGCCTTGGGAGGAATCTGTGCCCTCCTTTAACAAAATTATACCCGGTTGCTGTCAAAAAATACAACACCAAACATGTGAGTGAAACAGCTTCGGATTACAAAGAGAGAATTTACACAAACTGCTTATAACTAGAATGGGAAATCTTTGCATTGTGGAAATTTTCAACCAAACTTAATTTTTGGCGTCAAGCATCAACGATGGAAAAGGATTTTTCATCCCTCTCTTACCATCATGTTTTTGCTGTCAGGCGGCGGATCTGCTATGTCCCTGCGCAATCACTGATTTTCTTGTTAGTTTTCACGCATCAACTTATGACCATTCACGCTGACCAAAACCTTCATAGGCTCATTCCTGAAGAGCGCCCGCTGATCATAAATCCTTGTGGCTCAATAGTCAACCTGAAGTTTTGTGTTCCAAACATCGAGCATATATTCAATTTTTAGCTAACCGCTGGCAGTTTTTTTAAACACGACGTGGCGATCAGCCAGCTGCCGGTGTTTTTTGTTTCCTTGTTTATATTTACCATCAAAATAATGCGACGATTCTGTTACTACTTGAAGTCATGAAGACTTTGGGCTGTGGTCGAAGTGCTATAGTGTTAAGTTGCTTTTTACAAGAGATAGTATTCCATAAAATAGAGTATGGTGGGAAGGTCAGTTTTTATGATTTCACCATTTACAGTGTTTAGCTGCACGCGTAGAGGCTAATATAAAATGGACGGAAGAAACATGGCAATATTACTTCTTTGTTCATTCACTGAGTGACCTATCAAAGGTTAAACTAGTTTTGAACTGAATATATTGATTTGGAGTTAGCATGCTCGATTTTTTCACTCAGCCAGAATAAATATTTCCGTACATATAAGCTTACGTATAATACAAGATAATAAGCTTAAATTTGTTAGATAATGTTGTGAACGTATGAGTTTTAGAATCAGTTACCATTTTCGATTAGATATGTTAAGGTTATTTTATTTTTTTAATTAACCTGTCCTAGAGCATATTCTACCTTATGAGTACAGTAATTTTGCAAACTTCCCGATCATTGAAAATATCATATCTTCTACGTGTAGGTCAAACACTGTCAATCTGTGTTTTTTACAGTTTTGAGGCGAATTTCAGCTGACACAATTGTTTATTATCAAAGATTCATTAATTACAACAAATTCCTCTATATCATTGATGGATCTTGGGTAGAGGCCTTCATTCTTTTCCTTACTTTTAGACCAAAGTCAAGTCTAACCGGGCTAAGGCACTGAGATACTTTGTCTCAGCCTGAGAGCAACCCCACCCCCTCCCCAGCCCCCTTTGCCCCCACCACCCAACTGAAGGTCTGGATGTGCCACTGTCTACTACTGTATGTAACAGTCACCCTATCTACATATATTTATGTCCCCTTATACCTACATGTGTGTCGTGGTATGGTTATTGCGGTTATTTGACATTATTGTTTTATATCATTGTAGGATATCAATTCGCTGGACAAGCTTTCCTTCATTCTTAAGACCAGGAGTGATATCAACTTCAACTGACGGCACATGTATGTCAGCAAGAAGACTATTTTCACATCTCTTTGGAACACAACCAAGTCCTTTACGATATCTCTTAGTTATTGGTTTTATTGTAATTCTGTTGTTGGGATTTCTCTTATTTATGTCTGATTCAAGTTGGTACCGCAGTAGAACTAGACGCTTTACCTACCATGACTTTTACGAGCATGGGGCTGATTCAAATTATCATTATGGAATTGTTATTGACTGCGGCAGCAGTGGATCTCGTGTTTTTATTTATTATTGGCCACCACACAATGGAAACCCAGATGAGTTGCTACAAATTAAGCAGATGGTAGACTCTCGAGGAAACCCTGTAAGGATGAAGATCAAACCAGGTAAATGTTTATTGTTTTTTACACTGAGCACGAGATCTTCTCAGATCCAGTTATGAAAACAAAGTATTGTCAACTTTAGCAGGCATGTGTTCAACAGTGTTCCGTTACTCTAATATGTCCTGGATTTTGTATTTTTGCCCGAGTCAGGGAGAATTGCGGTGGGAAACAATTTCATCATTAGATATCACATGACCTCAAAGTAGCCAGTGTTGTTGCTATCTTGAGAGGTGCACAGTAATTTGGTATTTGAAGTAGTAAGGGATTTCACTGTTTTCTTGTGTTGAGAAAATGTGTTCTCACCAAGTTAGTATCCAGAGCTGACCTTTTTATTGGCCGAGGAAAATCCCCACATCCACTCCCATAATTCCAGTCCCACCAAAGGTAGCTAGTGAGAGCTGTTTTTCTAACACTTAAACTTTTACTAAGTTGAGTAATTACGTACACAACTTTTGGCTTAGCTAAAAGAATTAACCATTGCATAAACATTTCTAGAACCTTAACCATTATCACCGCTATTCATTTAAAGGAATATCCAGCCTTGTTGACGAGCCATCAAAGGCTTCATCTTATATTGAACCCCTTCTGGACTTTGCTGCACTAAAGATCCCAGAACACAAACATAAGGAGACTCCACTTTACGTCCTTGCAACAGCTGGAATGCGAATGCTTTCTACTGCAGATCAAGAATCTATTTTGGATGACCTGAGAGTTGATATTCCATTGAAATACAACTTTCATTTTATGGCATCACATGTTGAAGTTATCACTGGAAAACAGGAAGGTACATGTGCTAAATAAATTTTTAAATTAATTTTGTTACCATTTTGCATTTCTCAAACCTTAAAGCCATTATACTTGACTGTACTGTCCTGCTGTGCATCTCTATCTCCTCCCTACCCTCCCTCCCACAGTAGTACAATGAACCTCACTGGCATTAAGAAAGTTTTAGGTAAATTTAAATTTTTAGGTGTTGAGAATTCAGAATTCCTACATAATTTAAAACTTATTTCATACCTTTTATGGTATAGTTGGTTTTTGTCAAGTCCATTATTTAATTTCTTTTTTAACAGGAATATATTCTTGGATTGGAGTTAATTTTGAGCTTGGACGATTTGACCATTCACATGATGCAAAAGGTAGATACCAGCAATTAAAACTGTTTGAAGTGCTAAACCTTGTGCGGTGTGTGACTTAGTTAATGAGTAAATTATGTGAAAAGTTAGAAGGAAAGGCATCCAGGGGTCAGTTTAATAAAACTTTTGTAAGTTTAATTTACAAGTGTAGCTATTGTTTTAGAGTATGAAAACAATAGCCACTTTTGAAAATTACCTCATTGTCTCCGGCGGCTAGGGCTGTCAATGTTGTGACATCGATCCTGAAAAATAAACTCGCAAAAAATCGCGTTACTTCCGATTGCCTCCAAATTTGGCTCACAGGAAGTTAACAGATTTAGCCAATCACCTGCCTGGTTCCAGCCCCTGTGGACTTTTGACAGTGACACACCGAGCTTTCGAAAATTTGGAATTTTATGGCGAGTCGCGGGGAATTTTTTTGAGCCGGTTTTGCGAATAATGAAAGCTTGTATTGACGAATATCAACCAAATACAAGTCAAACAAACTATCCTGAAGGATTTTGGAGGATAACAAGCAAACTAAACGCGAAAATCGAGGTTAGGTTCAACAATTAGAATCTGTGCATGCAAATCGCCGATCGCCGACTCTGTGCCACATGTTCTTGAAACGGCGACGATTTCCTTCCCGTTTTGCCTTCGCTTCGCTTTTCGCTGTCAAATTCTTGCTTATTTTGATGAATTCTATCAGCAAATTCATGTCTGCTTGTCTCTAACTCGATATTTTTTTGGGAATCGAGGAAACAAAGCGTCTCAGTGAAGTAAACATGGGGTCACGAGGTGACGCCAAAGGATTATGCTAATTATGATAATCCAATTAGCATAATCATGAGAGCGTGAAGAAAAAAATTTGTAGAAAATTTCTAGTCGCTCCATATTTTAGAACGATTTTCGGGTTTTTTTGCTTACATATTGATGAAAAAAATTTCTTACTACCATATCACCCAAAATAAAGAAGTTTCCTAGCTAAATGACATTCTTTAAAATTTTAAAAAAATTTTTTGCAAAATATGCTTTTTTAATTTTTTTGTGGCGGAATATTATGGGTTTCCTATGACCGAAATATTTTTTTTTCGAAAGGGTATTCTTTTCCCTTTCCAATGAGGTATAGCTTGATATTGAACTGTAAATAACACCAGAGATATGATTTTTTAAAGTTACATGGCAAAATACATTAAAATAATTAGCTGAAGACAATGAGTTACACTTGTAAAAGTTTTGTTAAATTGGTTCCAGGATAGAAATATTATTTATCACTGCATCAGTTACGCTGCTGTCTGCAGTAGTTTCTATTTGATTTTTTAACGGTCTTCGAAAAGGACTCGGGATGCACTAATACAATTGGACCTCTTCACAGCGGGGCAGTTCTTGGGGGCAAAAGAAAGTCGCCGTTGTAGAGAGGTTTAAGCAAGAGTTTATTTATGGATGTCTTCCAAAAAATGTGTAATTGTTAAGAGGTGACTGTTGTAGAGAGGTTTAAGCAAGAGTTTATATATGGATGTCCGCCAAAATAGTGGCTATTATAAAGAGATGGCTGTTGTAGAGAGGTGACCGTTAGTAGAAGTTCAACTGTATCACTGAAAGAAAACATGAAGTTATTGTAGCTTTACATAACAGTTTGTCAATGAACCATGATAATTGTTGGATTTGGTTCATTATCCTCTGGGGGTGGTCTTTTCTAAGCCCAATGATAACGTTAATAACTGTTATTTTTTTAGGTTTATACAGGTTTGAATTTGTTAACTTGCATGGAAGTCTGTTTCTAAAGACATCTTCAGTTTGCAATGTCAAAAACTCTCCTGGAGTGCATGTAGAAAGTAGCTTACAGGCTTCGACTAGGCCAAAGACTTCACAAATTACTGTCAAAGTACATGTGCTACTTGAAAAAAATCAACAAAAACATCTTCAGGGCCAGATTATTCTGTTCCTCCACCATTAACACACAGGGGATTTTTTTTTTTTTTTTTTTTTTTGGTAGAGGGGATGATGGCATGAATGTCTTAACTTACAGATAAATTTGTGTCACAGGGTCACCAGTCTTGAATAGTAGTGTGTCTGAAGTTAGCCGCAAGAGTACTGTAGGTTCCTTGGATATGGGAGGGGGATCTGCACAGATTGCTTTTGAAGTTGCAAAATCTGTAAGTACCTGGAATGTCAAACACAGCACTGTTGCGTTGTACAGTATCTTCTTGACCTTTTTACATTACTGCAAACATCCAATTTAAAGTTAGCCTTGTGTTCCCATTTCAGGCCAACATAAGCCTTTTTTGCTTAATTATTCTTATGAAATAGAAGAGATCTGGGCATGGCTTCAGTTAACGAAGGACTTAGCTGTCAAAGTTGTGATTTCAAACCTGAACAGAACAAGCAACGACTATTGCAGTTATGAGCCCCCTCAAATTTGAGCTTCTCCGTTTTTAACCCCCCCCCCCCTCCCTCCCCTTAAACCCCTTACAAAGATGTATACGCCTAGAGCTTACAAGTGGAAGCTTATGATACTCTGTTCTGTTTTAAGAATACTGTTAATAGTCATCACCTATGATTTATGTGAATACACATTCTAATTTCTAATTCCGTGTCCCTCAATATAGGTATGGGTCCCATCAGAGCTGAGTGCACAAGTCAATCTTGGCTGTGACTCTCATCAAACTATACATAATTACCATCTGTATGTTGCAACATTTCTTGGGTTTGGTAGTAATGCTGCACGAGACCGTTACACAGAACTTGTTCTTAGTCAAAATGAAAGTCTTAGCTTTGATCTGTGAGTATTTTTTGAAAATAGTAATTCTACATGTACTGTCAGTAATACACATGTACTCTGATTATAAATTAATGCACACTGTAACAAATTATGCGTTCTGAATACTACTTCAAAGTATGCCAAATAGCCTGCTACTTTTTGAGCAACAGAAACTTCTGAAGGTCTCCCAGGTGTTGTGGGAAACAACACCATGAACATTCACTTTTAGCAAACAAGGGACATCTGGAGATAACTTTTAGAGAACAGGGGAGCCATTGAGTTTTGGGGGGTATAGGGGAACATTGATTTCATAAATTGCAGGAAAAGGGATCATGACAAAATTGAACTTTAGGGAAGATGCGAAATTATTTGCGGGGACTCGAAGGAGAAACTTCAGTTATTCAGAGAACAAGGGAACATAAACCCACCATGGGAGGCACTATTTTCCCTGCACCATTCAACGAAAAATTCCAGAATTCTGCGACTTGAAACATAACTGAATGGAAAGGACAATTCCGGAAGAAATTTTCAGACATTTGTGTTTGCCTGCCAAGGTTGTCCTCTCTTTCCCAGTTTTTGCTTCACGTTCATAATAGGCATTCAAAAATGAAGGGGAAAGGCCAATTTATTCAGATGCACAAACATCACATTCTCAAACACCCGTTTCATCCCCTTTTCTTTCAAACTCCTGCAATGAAGGCTAAATTTTACGTAACTTCATTAAGAAAACCATTTTGTTGAATACGTGGCACTGTTATTGGGTATTTTTTACCCCGATAGTAGAAGTTGTTGTCAGTTCTTCTGTTGTAATTTTTCTTTATTATTAGTTTTCAATGTAAAATAGATAGATGTGGAGAAATATTATATAGTTTTTAACTTTTAAGTTTGTGGAAGAAATCGTAAGGTGTTACCATTCAAATGAAACCTTCAACAGCCGTACGTTTGCATGGAGTTATTTTTCTTGTAGCATTCTGTAATACTTAACTTGAGTTGTTGCAAGTAATGCTGGATTATCTTTGAAATAAACGGTGATGAACAAAAGATTTTAAGTCAGTAATAGCATTTTATGTTCTTCTTGTAATTTCACAGTTCAACTGAAGCGTATCTAGATCCTTGTCTACCAACAGAATGCAATGAACAAGTTACCCACAAGGGAAAGCAATACAAACTTATTGGAACAGGGGAATATTATAAATGTCAAAAACTTATTCTTCCGCTTTTGAACCTGACAACACCCTGTCCAAGGCAACCATGTTCTTTTAACGCTGTTTACCAGCCTCATATAGACTACAACCAGGTTGAATTTTATGGATTTTCTGAGTATTGGTACTCCATGCACGATGTGCTAAGAATTGGCGGACAGTACAAGGCAACTGCCATGAAGAAAGCTGTAGAGGTAGGTTTTCAGCATGTTAGAATCTGTAACTGAAATTTGTTCGCGAGATATTAAGATTTTAACAGGTTCACGGTTAAGCGCATGCTCATTAATTTAAATTACTATTTTCCAATTTAGTGTTAATTTATCGGTTAATAATCCCACTCACATGTATCTCAGCGATCTCAGAGTGTATTTCACAGTAGAGGTGTATTTCAGAGTAACCTGAAGTAGGATGTAGGAGAACTAAAATCGCAGAAAAAAATTAGTGGATTATGCCAACACCACCAACGTTGAATTTATTGTTGACCTGAAGGTTTTATTCCATGGTTGATTAATTTACAGCTATTTGCAAATATTTGAGTTGATCAAGTGCAACTTACTGCCAGAGGAGTGTGCAGATTGGTTCTTTGACAACATATTGACATGATCATATTGCTTGCATAGACGATACAGCATGTCCCGGCCGATAAACGGCATTTTGATAAATGAGCGTTCGCTGAACCGTGAACCTGTCCCTTTAATTTGACTGTCTTGTTAACGAAATGCTGTGCATCGTCTGCATCAAACAATAAAGACCTAGCTTGAACTTGCAAACAGATTCAATCCTTGCAAAAGTCTTTGTCTAGCTCTAGGTCATTTATGCAAATTTAGTGTACTTTAACTCTTTTCGAACTCGCTTTTATTTATTTCCAATTCCTTGATAATGACGTCATGGGGTCGTCGAAAAGTTGGAACATTAGACCCTGTTTACATGGAGTGGGGGACCCCGGTCTAGTGGGGTAGGTTTCTTTTGTTTTGTGTCCTCCAGAGCGTGAAAACAAAAGAAACCAACCCCACTAGACCGGGGTCCCCCACTACATGTAAACAGGCCCTTAGAGAGATATAGAGCGATTTCACTCACGTGGCCAGCGTCTATGCTAATTCATTGGAACGAAAGAAAGTTTTTTACATAAGAAAAGAGTTCAATTCCCACAAGATTGCCTTGGTACACCAATATGGCCGCCATCTCATTGTTTTGGAACACCAATATGGCCGCCGTGACGTCATCTGAATACGCTCTTGAGCAAACGGTAAACGTCAGATTTTAAGTTGAGAATTTCTCAAAATAGAAAATGAGCAGGTAACAACTGGGAAAACTAATTCTTATGAATAAAACTCGCGTGAAACAACTAATTTTTTTTGTAGAAGTAATTAACAGTAAACGACAAGTATAGGGGTTAAAAGGGAAACTTGGTCTCGTGGTACAAATTCGTGTTTGCCGTTTGCCGTAAATATGACCCTAAATTTCTCTAATATCTCGTTTACTTAGTTTTTACATGCTTATGAATACATACTTTTCGGGTGGAGAGAAGCGTCAACCGGAAATACGTTTGCGTTCGCAGGCTATTCCTCAATCAGGCTGGCATTCCCTCTTACTTTCCGACTAATGAAGCGTTTGTTAATTCTCAGGAGTTCTGCAAAACCCGTTGGTCAGTTCTTGTCAATCGACACGCGAAAGGACTCTATCCACATGCAGATGCTCATAGGCTACAGTAAGCAAAATGTCGAACTTTTTTTACTTGATGTGGTTTAGATTTAAAAGAGATGAATATTTTCTCTCCTTCCTCCAGTGATGTAGTTTTTATTCAAGTACATTCGCATAACTGATTTGTTACCAGTTAGATAATCTTGAAAATGGCCTTACGATGAGGACGAAACATCGACTTTTTACGCTTTTATTGACGTGTTTCTGTTTCCTCGTAATGTCACTTTTTTTCAGTCTTTTTTAAAGTGGTTTTGTGAGAAAAACAACAGCTCTGCACGTGCATCATGTTTTTTAGTACATTTCTTTGACGTTCACTGCACGACTACGACGTGAAACTTCCTAATGCCAAGTTTTATGGGGCACGCGCGCGTGAAGATACGAGGACCGTGAATTTTCCTTTCTCGGCTTTTTGAAGCTGGGTAAAGTCGTTAAGAATTCAACTCCAGGAGCTGGAGAAATCGCCTACATTTGACAAATTGAGCGGTCCAAATAGACGCGATAAAAGTTGAAAGGACGCAAATTCATTTTCTGAAGACTTTTTCACCAACATCGTCGCCATTGCTCAAGCTCCCTTTCCTTAACTCCCTGTTATGCCAATGCGATATTGTTGATATGGTATTGAGAATGTGGTGGTAAGATATTGGAAAGAGAGAGAATTGTATTTAGAAAGTGCTGATATGGTAAGCAAAATCGGTTAGTGCGGTTTTAAGAAAACGTTTATTTGGTACGGAAACGCGTCAGCAAAATGTTGGCAAAGTTTGTTTCCGTGCTGGTAAAGTGTTGCTATGGCGTGTATAACTGTATTGCTTGTGTTTGTCTAGGTAACTGGTGAATTGGAAATTATTAAAGTACCATGTGTGAATATCCTAAGGCTATTTAGTCACTTCGGCTTTTTCAAAGATCAATCAGTAAAAAACGCGTAGTGTATTTAAATTTTTTTTCGTAAGGTTCCAGTGTTTCAAAGCAGCTTGGGTGACAACAGTTCTTCACCAAGGTTTCAAGTTTCCCCAGAACTACAGCAACCTACGCTCCGCCTTTTATATCGGCGACAAAGAAGTTCAATNCCGTGAATTTTCCTTTCTCGGCTTTTTGAAGCTGGGTAAAGTCGTTAAGAATTCAACTCCAGGAGCTGGAGAAATCGCCTACATTTGACAAATTGAGCGGTCCAAATAGACGCGATAAAAGTTGAAAGGACGCAAATTCATTTTCTGAAGACTTTTTCACCAACATCGTCGCCATTGCTCAAGCTCCCTTTCCTTAACTCCCTGTTATGCCAATGCGATATTGTTGATATGGTATTGAGAATGTGGTGGTAAGATATTGGAAAGAGAGAGAATTGTATTTAGAAAGTGCTGATATGGTAAGCAAAATCGGTTAGTGCGGTTTTAAGAAAACGTTTATTTGGTACGGAAACGCGTCAGCAAAATGTTGGCAAAGTTTGTTTCCGTGCTGGTAAAGTGTTGCTATGGCGTGTATAACTGTATTGCTTGTGTTTGTCTAGGTAACTGGTGAATTGGAAATTATTAAAGTACCATGTGTGAATATCCTAAGGCTATTTAGTCACTTCGGCTTTTTCAAAGATCAATCAGTAAAAAACGCGTAGTGTATTTAAATTTTTTTTCGTAAGGTTCCAGTGTTTCAAAGCAGCTTGGGTGACAACAGTTCTTCACCAAGGTTTCAAGTTTCCCCAGAACTACAGCAACCTACGCTCCGCCTTTTATATCGGCGACAAAGAAGTTCAATGGACACTAGGAGCGATCCTCTATCGAACAAGGTTCCTGCCTCTAAGGTACGTTATGGGGCTCATGAGAGCTCTGGAAATTAAATGCCTTGTTGCCGATAAACTGTAACGGTAAAAAAATGACACGCAAAGGGAAAAGAATTTGAATCCTTTAACAGAAGTCATTGGCAGTTTGGTTCTTCGGTTTTGCCGGCGGTTGAAGCTCATTTTAAAATTACTCGTTTTAGGTGTTTATCTCAGCTTCTTTGTCGGTTTTTGGTCACTTTTTATTGCAGTTTCGAAGATTTATCGATTTTTTTGTGGCCGGTTTTGCTGCTTTCTCCTCGAGCACCGTCCATGAACTCGTTGAACTGTAGAGAGGAAGTTCGATACTCTGGCTTCATGGCCAGTAAATGCCGTGTTTTTGTTTTTGTTTGTTTTTTGTTTTATAATGGCTGGAAGTTTATAGATGAATGTCGTGCGTTTTTGCCTCTAACACTTAATTAGCTAAGTACTAACATCAAGAATAACATTGAACCGCAACAGCTGTTCCCCCCTCCCTCTCCCCCAGTCTCTCACACCACGTGTCATTGTTCTAATCCCATCGATCTTTACATGCGTGCAGAGATGGCGGATATGGTCAGTATGGCATTTGACCACATATATTTTTCATTTCTAGGGAAGTCCAATTGCATTCACAGTACAAAAGTTCATATCACGCCCTTTGGAGTTACGTGAGTGAACTACAGTTCCGCATCATATTCTTGGTGTGCAGTGTCACAGTTTTGGCCGCCATCTTGCTGTACTGTAGGCGGCTACGGCGCATGAGCAGTACGTCAAGTTTGTGGCAGTACAACTCGTCTCCAGTCCTCTACAATGTTGATGTAATACCCAGCACAGATAAGATTCCTGTGAGATGACCAAACGAGAAAAAACTTCGAAGAGACTTTGAAAAATCTGATATGACAATAAANGGCTCATGAGAGCTCTGGAAATTAAATGCCTTGTTGCCGATAAACTGTAACGGTAAAAAAATGACACGCAAAGGGAAAAGAATTTGAATCCTTTAACAGAAGTCATTGGCAGTTTGGTTCTTCGGTTTTGCCGGCGGTTGAAGCTCATTTTAAAATTACTCGTTTTAGGTGTTTATCTCAGCTTCTTTGTCGGTTTTTGGTCACTTTTTATTGCAGTTTCGAAGATTTATCGATTTTTTTGTGGCCGGTTTTGCTGCTTTCTCCTCGAGCACCGTCCATGAACTCGTTGAACTGTAGAGAGGAAGTTCGATACTCTGGCTTCATGGCCAGTAAATGCCGTGTTTTTGTTTTTGTTTGTTTTTTGTTTTATAATGGCTGGAAGTTTATAGATGAATGTCGTGCGTTTTTGCCTCTAACACTTAATTAGCTAAGTACTAACATCAAGAATAACATTGAACCGCAACAGCTGTTCCCCCCTCCCTCTCCCCCAGTCTCTCACACCACGTGTCATTGTTCTAATCCCATCGATCTTTACATGCGTGCAGAGATGGCGGATATGGTCAGTATGGCATTTGACCACATATATTTTTCATTTCTAGGGAAGTCCAATTGCATTCACAGTACAAAAGTTCATATCACGCCCTTTGGAGTTACGTGAGTGAACTACAGTTCCGCATCATATTCTTGGTGTGCAGTGTCACAGTTTTGGCCGCCATCTTGCTGTACTGTAGGCGGCTACGGCGCATGAGCAGTACGTCAAGTTTGTGGCAGTACAACTCGTCTCCAGTCCTCTACAATGTTGATGTAATACCCAGCACAGATAAGATTCCTGTGAGATGACCAAACGAGAAAAAACTTCGAAGAGACTTTGAAAAATCTGATATGACAATAAAGATGTTTCTATGTAAGGAAAGGAGACGTCACTTTGTTGTATTTTGATTGATGTGGCATCAGCCAGAATCAGCGTCAGATCGTATGGCTGCGCATGCGCACAACCCTCTCGTCCTTGGTCATGCCAATCTCGTTCCCAGAAGGTGCGATCCTTTCGAAGAATCCGAAAAGAAAATACATATCTGATTGGCCGAAAAACGTATTCATCATATTCAAATTACTTTGCTAATCATACAAACCATAGTTATTAGAGGAGACTGGTTATGAAAAGCGGCAAACATCAATGATAAAAACAACAGTGCTGCAGTTTATGTTGGAAGCACCCTGAAAGTGCACAATCCTTTGTTTTCTGTTGGCAAATTGTTACGGAATAAATTAATGCTACGTTTTTATTGGTCAATACAATCAAAATGATAGGAATTCTTTTGAACGTTGTGCACTTTCAGGTCCACAAAAACATATAACAAAGGAGTCTGACGGGTTTCATAACCATTCCACTCAATTAACTATGTACAAACTGTGAGCACGTTGATTTGATTTTGACAAGTCATCTGGGAACACATCAATTTTATACGACCGTTAAGGAAAAAGTTTATCTCAATATAATTTCAAAAAACCACGCCACAACGACACTTTGTCTAAAACTTTCTTTTGTCTTGTTATTGAAAGTCGTTCAACGCCACTTTTTATACATACATGCTACTGAACCTTTCAAATTTGCATACAGCTGTGCTCATTCTGAACACGAAAAAATACATGTCGTCATGACTTACGAATGTCTCAATCTCGGCATTTTAAGTAAATATACACCTGTTTCAATAAAGGTTGCTTTGGGATTTGGTCATTGAAACGGAGAAGACAATGCAATGCTTTGCTTGAGTGACCACCAAACAATGGCTTTCAAAGACCAAAGCACGATTCCCAAAGCAACCTTTATTGGAATAAGTGTATATTTCTTCAGTCTCCTTTACAGTCCTTTCAATTGTGAAGGGACTGTCTTTTCAAGTTACTTAATACATCGATCAAAAGTCACGTAAAGGAAAACTGCAGTGGAACGATTATGTTCCAATGTGCGTGCAAGGGAAAATTCCCTCGGGAAGGTCTCTTTGTCAAATGGCTAAGTAACTTCACGAGGGCGCAATTAAACCGGAACCAGGATTTTCCAAAGCGTCCGTTGCCCGTTGCGCTGGATAAGGGTAACTCAGGCTCTGGGGACGAGATTGTGGTCTTGCGCAACAGAGAACAGCTTTGGGCTCGAGAATGATCAGCGTGGTTTAGCCAGCGTAGCAGGCGCGTGGAAGTAATAGAGATCGTTAGATTCTTAGACAAGGACGACAACGAGAACAAGATTTTCCCAATACCAAGTAGTGCGCGCGCGTGAACCAGCGTCATTTTGGAGGGAAAATGTGATAGCCGTCGTCTTGCTCTAAGTCTTAGTAGGCTGATTTAGCAACAGGACGGGAACGTCATTTGACGACGGGAAAGCGTACGGAAAAGACTAAACACGACTTCCGGTGCTCAATTTGCTGCTCTGCCATTGGTCAAAACAGTTGTCTGATTTGCGCGCGCCGTCGTCAACTCGCGTTCCCGTTCTGTTGCTAAATCAGCCTAGTGTCGTAGTGGCGAAAACTAGTTATCAAATGTTAGAAATTGTATCATTTAACGATCGGGAGAGGGCATAACCTCCCTCAACAGGAATAAGTGTACTAGCTCTTGTGGTGAAAAAAAAAGTACAATGAAGCTTTCCAGTGTCTATTTTTAGAGAATACGCGAGAGTTAAATGTCTTCCTCGGTAGTCGTCCCCGAAACTAAAGCCGCGAGTGTCTCTCTCGCGCGCCCCGTTCATGCTCGCAGTCATACCTTTCTGGAAACGCCTGTTACGCAGGCTAAGCGTGGTTCCTTCGTCAGCTGTCCAAAACCTCGTACTATTTTTAGCTTGTATGTTTTGTTTTCCCATTGCAGACCATGTGATGCTACCCAAGAGAACTATTTCTTTCAAATGCCGAAGCTGGTGATTTAATTTTGTCGGTGGTTTCCGGCATGATTTTATTCAGGCGCGAAGCGTGGCGCGTTTTCAACAAAAGAAGCTCGATATTTTGAGAAAAATGAAAAGGTAGTTACATTAAGAAATTGACTTATTAATTTAATTTATGAAATCCTCCAATTATAACAGCTCAGTCTCATCCCCAGAGCCCCTCGGCTTTATTTGTGACTAAACTGGCTTGGGGAGCTATCACGCACAAGGACGGTATGACGTAAAAAATTACTTTTTATCTTCCTGTCGTCGACGAGGCCCAAAACGATTAGTGATTGATTTCCTTTTCATTGTGTGAGTTAAAACTCGAATTTGAGTGTGCACGTGTTTTGAATGATTTATCTCCCATTACCCATTTCGCCACTGACTGTCAACAGTCGGTTCCAACCCCGGGAGGGGGAGGCTACTCGACAACGTTTTATACGGGGGGGCTCCTCCCTGAGGTCCAACCCTTCATCCCTTTCAGTTATATAGACCATTTTTGAAAGAAAAGGTACCCCTTTCTTATACCAGTTATATTTGCTGTTTATGACAAATGGTACCCTTTTCACATACCTAGCCTTTTGAACATTGTCAGAATCCCTTTTAACTGTCGTGAATTCACTGACTTTTTAATATGAATAAATCACTAAAGCAGAAAGTTTTCTTGTCTGATCTCTTTCACATCCATAAAGTGAGACTGTTAGCCCTTTTTGGTCCTTTTAGGGACCAAACTGACAGACTTTCCCACCTACTTTCATAAACTTCAACTAACGAAATCCCTACCCTTTCATATATCTATATCTAAGGCCTGAAAAAGGTACCCCTTAATTTCGGGCGGAGCCCCCATTCCCGTATAGGCCAATTTAGAGAGCAGCCCCCGGGTCTCCAACATCAAAAGTGTTGGTTGTTGGCAAAGGCAGGATTCTTTCAAGCCTTTCTATAGACGACAACTGTTTATGACATTTTAATACTTAACCGCATTTAAGCGAGCCTAATAGTATTTTTACTGTCAAGTGGACTGATCAACACGCCTACTAATCTTGCTGTGACGTCATTAAGGTCATTAACCCTACTTATCATGCTTTTGTGACGTCACTTGACCAGATTTACTAAAAAAGGCAGGCCAAAAAGCTGGGAGTCACTCAGGCAGGCTGAAACAAACGGTTGATACGCAGGGCTCGAGCAAGTTTTTCAAAATGACCCGTTTGGAGTTAACTGTGATTCTGCTCCTCGGCATTCTGGGATCTTTTGCTTTTTCTAAGAAACCTGATCCATTGGCTAATAAGAAGAAGGTGAGTTGAGTTACAAAAACGGGGAGTCAGGGGAGCGTTCGATCACATTGCTTGCGTTCATGATTTAGAAAATCCCAAGTTTTCTCTCCGAAGTACATGTTCAAGCAGGCGACGAAAATCCTGCTGGTCTGCTTTGGATCGACGGTGATCCAATCGGGCAACCAATGATGCAGTTGTAGATGACTTTACTACTCTAAGTTTCAGACAAGGAGAAAATATATTGGAAGGGATTTTTTATGTAGTGATCACGGTATTCGCAAAATACGTAAAAACCAATTTGTAGTTATTATTTTAACATTTGATTTTTACTCTGTCAATCAATAGCTCTACTAATTTCCGGTATTACGCAAACGTACGTAATCACTACATAAAAATCATGACCACCCCTTCCTTAGCTTGATAGCCTTTAGCTCCTTCGTAATTCTTTTGTCTACGTGTCTTGTTCTCTAGCATGGCAGTTTTGTACCACGTAAATGACTAGCTAGACCGCCTTGCCCCTTTGCCATTTAAGTGGAGTGTCTCCCCTCCCCCTCCCCATCCCCTCAAATTGGGGTGTTTTACCTTCCGTTTGCTTCACTCGTGTAAACCAGGGTTACAATTTTATTCTTTATCAATTTTTTGTTAGCAATATTTTTCACAACTTTAGAGCATACTATAAAAAACAATGTGTCAATGATCTGTATTTTATTCTAAGGTATCCAGCGCAACGCCGCAAAACATTTGCGGACAGGACACCGCAGGAAAAT